AGCGCAGCTTCGGAACTGGTTTCGCACGAATTAGATGTCCGATGCGTTTTCGCGCGATACCTATAGAGACGCGAATTTATACCGAGACGCGCCGCTCTGAGCGGCCGTTTAATTGTGTTACGTAAGTTTTTTCCGGCATCGCGTCGTGGTCTCGCGATCACAACAAGACACAAAGTCGCCGATGAGGAGCGCGTGTTCAAATCCATTCAGGATTCTTGTGTAAATGCCGAAGAATTCTTTCCTGCGAGATCAAAGGAAGAAACCGTCATGGGCGAATGCTCGTCTCATTAACTGGTTCTAGTTACGTTCCCGTTATTATCATATTTCCTTTTCGCGAAGTGCGCGTACACTTGTCGGACGCAACGTGCCATCAACGTGCCGACAACTTCCGTAATCTGTGTGCACTCGATTGTTTTTATTCAAATGAAAAGCGCTCTATTCGCGGCTATTACTATTCTCATTCGACGTTCCTGTGCGCAGAGATTATAGTGCTCGCGACACCTCCTCTGCATTTCATAGGAGTTCCGTAATAACCGGGAGCGCGAGACGCCGGCGCCAAGAGTGCGAGTCGAGATTTCGTGGACGAGACGCCGCGACGACGAAGAAACTCGGAGGCTTGATTTTTTGCAATAGCCTAGCTAAAATACGACGAATGATAAATTTCGCATTTCCTGCGAAATAACCGTGAATTATCGTGCAAATTTTTATCATACGATTAGATCGTATGATAAAAAACGAAAGACTTGAAGACCTGAAGATGGAGAAGCAAAGAAAGCGCGAGACATCTTTAGAAAAATTTCCAAATCATATCTCCGCGCTTCTTCAGTTTTCTTATCCTCCCGCTCTCATTTAGATTAGCGTTGATTGCGGCCGTGACGTTACAGCTCAATTTCTCGCGATCAAAACACGCTATCGCACAAAGAATCCTTAACGTCAGAAGCCAGCTCTCGTTATTTTTCGTCGGAATCGCCGGCGAGTCCCGATCACCCTCATAAATATTCAGGAGCGCCGCTTGGGATGCCGCGATGTAATAATACATGACGTCCCGGCGCCGCGACGACAAACGGGAAGAGAGAACCGTGAATCGTCTTACCTTATACGTCATTCCACGACCTTGACGCCGAGGGGATCGGTCGTTCCGTCACTTGCGCTGGTTCGTGACACTTTTCCACCTTCGTTGTGCTCACAAGAGGATCCAAGGAGAAAGATAGATGTAGGGGATAGAAGAGAAAGAGAGAGGGAGGGAGCGAGGGAGAGAGAAAAACAGAGAGAGAGAGAGAGAGAGAGAGAGAGAGAGAGAGAGAGAGAGAGAGAGAGAGATGACAGAGAGATATTAATAACATCAAAATACGTGATTTTTTGATTTCTTGATTGCTTGTTATGTATTTGTAAAATCTCTATCTGTAAACTATATAACATCTTTCACGATAACGCGATGAATAGTGATCGTCTGATTGATTTGATTTGTGACGTCGGAAATTTACAGAAAAAGTACGTTTCTACGGACGGACAACGGGTGCTTTGTCGAATGTAAAGTCATGCTTTTCTTTCTTTCTCGGCGTTTAGCGTCGTACGACGGCTTGAGAGAGAATCAATATGCCGGGATACGTGAAGAGAAAGTTTCACGGTTTAATTTACATACGCAGGCATTACGAATCGCCAGCCCGGAGGTTATTTTTATACGATCAATACGCACTTTCACGTCCGAAATTTAGTTGGTCCGTTAGCGACAATAACGTATCCAGATATTGCACTTGCATATAACTATGCTATAATTATAATATAATTATATCAACATGTCGTAACTGCTTCTTTATTTTTGTTTTTTTTCTCGATAGATTTTACTGTTTAGTGTATTAAGTTCGAGCCGAAAGAGCTTTTTTTTTTCTTTTTTACGTGGGATGTATAAAATGCATTTATATTTAACAAGATGTCTATAAAACACAATGAAATTGTCACGTGAATACGTAATTACGTGGCAGTGTAAGGAGCTGAAGAATAGATTAGGTAAAACTAAATGCAATTCTTTTGCATTATACATATATATATATATATATTATATATATATATATTTTCTTTTTTTTTACCTTTCGATTCTAGTCTTATGTTTTGCAATAGGATGTGCGTGTATTTTGACATTCATTAGTTAACTCTTTGAAACACGACAATTTCGTTATGAAATCATCTTTTAAGAGTGTTCGAGATAGCTCTACGCGATAGTTCTACTCGAACGTAAATTTTTTAAGCTAATTTTGCGGCTGAAGTGAAATTTGATATAAGGTGTTTAGAGCAATAATATCTAGGTACATTATATGTACTGTGTGCTTCGTGAAACGAACAAATTTGACTCGCCGTTTTGTTAAAGTTGTCAAACGCCGAGAGCTTGTTAGTTTGATACGTAACAGTTTTCGATTTTAATGCGTATCTCACACACATTCGCTCATTTATATTTTGATTTAATTTACGACACAGTAGCTCCCCGCACTGTACCACGGGTTACAAGGAGAATATCTATCGCAATTATTGCGCGTTAAATTTTCGTTTTGCTTTT